GAGTATTATTGTAAAAATAAATAAATGATTATGATATAGATATATAGATATATTTTTATTTGTATAATTTACCCCAGCTGATTTTTTTTTCTTTAATCTTGTCCTTGCAAATTCCTCAACAACATTTTTCATTTACTTATCCATCAACCTATCAATTATATATACATATATAGTGTTGCTCAAGTTGTATTAAAATTGCGTAATCGTGGAGAGGATGCTTTCCAAAAAGACATTTACGGTAATTCAATTATTATTGAACGTAGAATTACTAGTGATGGGGATAGTAGATACAAAATCAAATCCGACTCTGGAAAAGTTATCTCACAGAGACGTGAAGATCTAAGCATAATTTTAGACTATATGTCGATACAAGTTGATAACCCTATAAACATTTTGACTCAAGACACTGCTCGTCAATTTCTACATTCTTCCAGTCCACAAGATAAATACACCGTATATAATCAATTTCTAAATTACTATTAATTATCATTATTATTTTTAATAATCACGTAAAAGAAATAATAGCTAATAGTTTATTATTGTTATATATTGATAGTTTTTTATGAAAGGAACTGAATTGTATCAACTTAAAGAAGACTATGACTTTGTTCGTGGAAGTTTGGACACTACAAATGAAATACTTAAACGCAAAAGAGAAATTTTACCAGAATTATTTCAAGAAGTAAAAGAGGTCGAGGTTAAACTTCGAGATATGAAAAAAGCGTATGAACTTGAAGCTGTAGTTTCATCATTGAAAAATCAATTGGCCTGGTCATTCGTTAAAGAAAAGGAGGAGGTTGATTTAAAATTTTTACACACATTCATACATAAATAAATATATTAACGAAGTTTTTTGTTTTTTAAAAAATTTTAATAATAAAAGGATGTTGCAAAACATGAAAAGAATTTACAAGAAGCAATGAATAGATTACCTTCTGTACAAGATAAGCTGGAATTGGAAATTGTAAGTTCTATAAACTCATTATTTATATTAATTTTTTCATAGTCTCAATTATTGTAATCATCATCATAATGATCAGCATAACTTGGAAGAAATTGAATCACAAATATCTGAATTAGAAGAAAAATTTAATGCACACGCAGAAACATCTTTACCATTACAAAATAGAAAAGTAGAATTAATAGCTCTTATTAAAAATAATAAAGTACAAATTCAAGAAATTCGGGTATGTATGAAAATTTCAAACTGTCAACCGCCCGAGCATATATATGATAATTAATTAATGATAATATAATAATAGGCCGAAAAAAAAGAAATAAATGAATCAATTAAAAGTCTAAAGCAAAACGCAGAAAAACTCCAACAAAA